TAAATTATATTCTACAAATAAATAAGTGTAAATCTATTTGTTATTAATCAATATTTACATTTTAAAAGTTGATAGAGCCACTAATTCTATCTGGTCCTTCAGCTTATACTTCAACAAAAAAATTGGTCCTCGAACCGGATGCGTCCACCAGTGCGAAGAAAATAATTAAAATCTAAATCTAAATCGAAAATTAAATAAAGTGAAAGTTCTAAACAAGACAGGAAGTCTAACTTTGGCGCTACACCTACGAGCGAGCACAGCAAGCAGCGAGTATATCAGGTTAGTCAAGCATTCCTTCCTATCAATCTTTCCTTATTCTAATATTTAGAGTTTTAATTCAATCTGTGTCAAATGGAATCATTAAATAAACTCAAAATGAAACAGCGAGTTACTAAAACACGTTTAACAAAATACGAAAAGTGTGCAGGCAAATGTCGGAACTACCTGCTTGCGACTTAAATATTGCAGACATAAAACGCCTTATCGATGATGTGAAGCCTTTGTTGAAATCTTTGAAAATACCGTAATTAGTATAACAGCATTACTAGAAGACGAAAGTCAAATTAATAATTTAATAGAAATAGAAGTAGATGAATTTTTTGAAAAACATAATAATTGTTTATCAACTTTACTTAAACTAGTCAGGCAGCATCAAGTAAGTCGGATACTAGTTCGAATAGTAATTCCAATGACACCACTATAACAAATAATCGAACAACATAAAACTACCTCAAATCAATTTACCTCAGTTTGACGGCTCTAACTTAATTGGCTACAATTTTATGATTCGTTTTCTTCTTTAATTCATAATGATTGTAACATCGGTAATTCTCAAAAATTTATTATTAAAATCATGCGTAAAAGGAGAGGCGGCAAGCCTTATAGAATCTCTACCGGCAACTGCCGATAATTATATAATTGCGTGGGATTTACTGAAAACGCGTTTCGAAAATAAGAAAATAATCGTAAACAATCACATTAAAAAATTATTTGATACCCGCCAATGCATAAGAATCAGGTAAAGACCTTCGTCATCTAATAGACGCGTTTAATAAACATTTAAGATGCTTAAAAATGTTACAACAACCCGTCGATCAATGGGACGCGTTATTAAATTATCTTGTAATTTCTAAAATTGATAAGAAAAACTCATCAAGAGTGGGAGATGTTAATGAATAAAGGATGAACTAGTTACTTTTCCGACTTAGCCAAATTTTTGTATTTTTTAAATCAACGCTGCACAATATTAGAAGCAATTAATCCGACTGAAAACAAGAATCGGAAAACTCCAGTAAATTTAAAGATATAAAACCTAATTACGCAAAAAATACAAAGGTCTTACGCTTCATCCACTAATCACAAAAAATATTTGCCTAATTTGCAAAGAGTCATTTCATTCACCGTTCAAATGTCAAGGTTTTCGGACACTATCTCCAGAAGATAGAGTAAGCAAGTAAATCAATTAAAACTATGCACGAATTGCTTACGTTACAATCACAACAGTGATCAATGTACTTCTTTATTCGTTGTGCCTTTGTAATTCAAATCATCACAGTCTTCTGCATATAGACTCAAGCCAATTACCAGCTGTTAATACTGCACCACAAAATGTTTCGTGCCATACCGAAAATGATTCAAGTCAAATCATCTTATCTACCGCAGTAATTAATGTATTAGATAGCAATAATAGATATAGAGCATGTAGAGTATTATTAGATCGGGATCACAATCCAATTTCATCACGGAGAAATGTGCTAATGAGCTCGGTTACATAAACAATCAATAAATATGTCAGTCCGGGGAATAAATCAAAATTCAACGGAAATTAAGTCAAAAACAACAATTACTTTAAAATCGTGCATTAATAACTTTTCATTAGATCTATCCTGCTTTATCTAAATAATATAAACAAATATTGCGATGGTGTCTTCATAAAATATTTTAAATATCCCAAATTATATAAAGTTAGCGGATCCCACATTTAATAAAAGCAATAAATCGATATTTTAATAGGTTCGGAAATATTTTGGAATATATTTTGTAAAGGATATATTCATCTAGGAAAAAATAGACCTATTT